TAAAAAAGGTATGAATGAAACCATATTATCTATAATCATAAAAAATATATATATATATATACATACATGGGAGGAGATCTACTTACTTCGAGATTAAGTTGAAAAAATCTATTATACATCTTAACATTCATTCTTGGAAAATTTAATGGTTTAAATTTACTCACTAAAATTCAAACTATTGAATTTTCCAATAATAGATAACTAAGATGTGAAGTAAGTAAGTGGATCATTTCCATATATATATTAATTAAATTAAATAATACTTAAAAGAAGAAGAACTTTACCTGAATCCGAAAACAGTGACAGGCTTGTCACCAAAGAGAAGGGTCTTAGGATCCTTAACCTTGATATCAAAATTCTTCCATTGCCCATGAACAGTATCATACTTGAACATGTATGACTGCCACAACAAACAATAAAAAATAAGCAATTATGATCAAAAAGTACTTTTTTTATTATTGTTCACTACAAAAATCACAAAATCAAATGAATATAATAATAATCAGGACAAAACTTACTTAAAGTACTATAGGTGCTAGTGATACAAGTGACCTATTAGAGGATGACACGTGTACATTTTTTGTTACTTTCAAGGAAGAAACATTTATTAGATTTACAATAAAGCATATTTGACCTTGAAAGTAACAAAAAATGTACACGTGTCACCCTCTAATAGGTCACTTGTACCACTAGCATCTATGGTACTTTACCTAAGTTTTGTCCTATAATAATCTATATACCATGTAATCAGTGGTGATGAAAGGATCATTAACAGCAACAAGCTCAACATCATCCCTTTGAAGTGCAACTCTGGCCACCAAACGACCAATTCTTCCAAATCCTGGATACATAAAATTTCTAAAAATTAACCATTTATTTCATAAGTTAATTTAGTAATAATAATAAAAATTGCGAGCTTATGTTTATAAATTGCCAGCTACAATTGTAATTGTGATATTTGGTTATCAAAACTGCAATATTGTGATATTGGCAGTTTATATAATATCATGATCACAATTATAGCTACATTAGTTATGTATGGGTGAGCTTATTGCATTGTAATTAAAATCGCTACGAATCGGTTCAACCAATGACTTAATATTGGTATGATACAACAATTATATCTACCAAAATTGATTAAAATTGTTAAAAACCTGATGAACTGTATCGATCATATCAGCTGGTTTCATTTAAAATTATTTTTTTATAATAAAAATGGTTTATTTTTACCAAAATGTTGGTATGGAAAATCAAACACACCACTAATATATTTTTTATACATCTAGAACATGGTCCACCATATATATATATATATATTTTAACAACTAGTATCAATAAAAATAATTATTATATTATTTATTGATTTTTCAACATTAATATTATTATAAAATATATGTATATCTAACTCCAATGGTATGCAGTTTAATTAGTGAATTGAACTATTATGCGGTGACGTGTACCTGTTATTGAATTAATCTAAAAAGCTTATAAAAATGTCCTTCATAAACTTGTGACAATAAATTGATATAATGAGCATATGAAAATTAATGGTTCTAATACAAAAGAAATGTCTATAACTCTATATAGTATTGTATGTTGGAAAAAGGTAATTACCATTGATTCCAATCTTAATCTTCTTGTCTGAAGCTGATGAGAGAAACATAAGAAACATTTTAGAAAATAAAAAATATTTGAAAAAAAGTGAAAAAAAGTAGGAAAAGAAGAAAGAATACCCATGATGAAAAAAAGTGATTTTTGTGAGAATAGATTAGAGTGAGAATGAAATTAAGAGTGAGGAAGAGAAGTATTAGTTAGTGGGTATTTAAAGGGATTGCAGCTTTAGCTTGGGGAAAAAGAAACCAACTTACCCGCGGTTTTGTACTTTCTAGAATAAACCAAACTCAACGGAACAAATATTCAATGTCCAATGTGGGACTATAAAAATATGTTATCTACAAATTTTAAATATTTATTATTATTTTTAGAATAAATTATATTCTTATCTTTGAGTTTGAGTTATAGTAAAATTATATAAATTATCCGTTCTTTTTTTATCCTTATATGAATTATTCATTTCTCTTATATGAATCATCCCCTAATTTTTGTACATGTATTACACTAGCTACCATTGCATGATATATAAGTATAATATTTTAAACAAAAAATGTGTGGTGTGTATAATTTAGTTAAACAAAATATTGTATGTGATGTAAAAAATTCAAATAATGTAAGAGCCAATGTGTGTTCATGTATAAAAGTTATTTAAATATTTCCATAGAATTATTAATGTATTTTGTAATATTGAAACAAAAACAATAAAGAGACATTGAATTTTGTACTATTTAAAATTGTCTACATAAAATATAATATTTTGTTTAACTTAATTATATTCATCACACTTTTGTTGTTTAAAAGATTACACTTATATATGTGGGTAATCAGTATAATGTATGTATAAAATTAGGAGTGACTCTTGTAAGAGACAGAACCGGTTCGTGTAATGACAAAAAATGAAAGATTGGATTGTGTAATTTCACTAAAATTCAGAAGGTGTGAGTGTAATTTACTCTTATTTTTATTTTTGTCTCATTATTATTGCTTTAGGACATTATAGAGATACAATATTGAATAACAAATATATTTTCAACTCGAACAAAAATCTTATGTATCATATGATCATATCATTTTTGTTTCATTATCATTGTCTCATATATTGTATTGGATCAATAAAAATATATAATGTCAATTACAAATTTTAAACGTTCATTATTATTATTACTTTTATTTTAGAGATAATATATGACACACTATAAGAAAGGTCTAATCTTTTTTCAGGTAGAGGAAAGATCTAATGTCATCGGTGTCATGAATTGTCTTCTATTACTTTCTTTTTATTCAACTGCCTTTTTCGATTTCAATAGGAAATATAATTAATAGATTTATTTATATAGTAGTTTATGATATTTTAATATAATATAATAAGGAAAATGGTACATCTTACTACTAATTTCTCTTACAAATATTCATATTATATTCTTAAAAAAGTAATATGTCATCTATAAATTAATTATTAATAAATAAAATATCATTTTATAATGTATATCGATTTCCATTTGGTGATAGAGTATAGACGTGTCAAAAGTGAAGACTGAACTTCTAGAATATTGTATCACAATCACACTTTTTCCTACCAAAACCACAAACACAAGAGGAGCAAACCAAATTTAAAAGGTGAAAATGAGGTGCAAACCAAGTACATCTACTCTATAAAATAAGTATAGTGATGACTTAATACTTAATATAACAACGATGTTTTTAATTTTTTAACGTTTTTTATGTTATTGACCATCATAATGCGTGTTCTTATTAAGAACTCATTTTTATTTCACAACTCATTCTAGTTAATATATGTCTATGTGAATATTCTTAAATTGTTGGTGATGTAAGAAAATATAAAATAAGCATAATGGCTCAATATATAACAAGGAAAAAGTCTTTGGATTTTTAAGTTTATGTCTACTTCATGAAGATAAAGTCAACTTTAATGTACAAACGGAGCAAAAAACTTTAAACCCAAAATGATTATTAAAGTTTATCAAATTTTATGAGGAAATAAATTGGCCACCTAAATTATATTATTTTTTACATGAATCGTGATATTGTTTGTCACGGTAAAAAAAAATTAAAGTCCTTTCTTAACTGGAAATAATCTCTAAAAAAATATAAATTCTATGTGAAATGCAGTGTTATAAATATGTCTTTAAAAAATTCTAATTATGACTTGCTTACCAAATAGTTAAAATAGGCAAAAAAAAATACCTAATTGTTTTAATATCTCATAAAAGTATTACATTGGTAGAGAGCATAAATAAATAGACAAATGGTGGAGAATACCAAGAGGGTTTGAATTTGTTCACTTATATTATATTTCTTAATCTATCATACTTGCTATAAGGGCAAGCAACTAATTATTTTCAGAATGTATGATTAACTCTTTCAATCAGCATCGATTCCAGAAATCAAACTTTTGACATTTTAATTATCTTAATAATCTAGCGGACCTTATCCACTAGACCAATGTCTTATTTGATTGATTATTACTAGTTTGTAATCATATGCACATAATCATTTTTATTTATTTTGCACAAACATTATATTTTCTTCCAGAAATTAAATATGAAAAACTGAATTAATATTTTTTAGAAACTGCCACATAATCAAAAAGAAAATAAAAAAAACATAAAATAATATTTTTTATATTACTTGATGCATTGTGATTGACTTGAGACGTGTTGATAGAAATTTTTAGGACATATAATCCTTATTCTAAAAAATAGTGCTTTTTAATCGTAATAAATAACACCTGAGGATTTTTTTCCCAAATAGTAATTCTCTGTTTCGCTGAGTCTTTTCTATTATTCACACAATAATATTTCATTATCTTTATTATTATTATTATTATTATTATTATATATATATATTGAAATGGTGAGGGTTGAGCGTGAAACTTGACACTACTTATTGAAAAACTTTTTTCTAATTCATGTAATATTTTTGGTACCACAAAAATTATTCTTCACTTTTTTGGTAAGAAACTAATCATTTTTAGAGTTTTCCTTACAATAAATGTTGCTCTTAAGAATTGGACTCGTAACCTTTTTAGCCGTTCATTCTAGGGATTTAGCAAAACATTACAGCACTAGACCAATGTTACATGTTTTATAATGGGAAAACATTTATTTAGTAACATTTGAAGAACACATGGTAGTTGGTAGAGACAGGCTGTTGAAGTTGGACCCTTCATCCATCTTAGACCTCATTGGAGAATAATAATATAATAAAGGAGTGTTTCATGCTTTAGGTTGAAACAAATTTCAACTATTATTCCAAAAGAATAACATTAGAATATCCTCTTACTCCATTACTTTTTTTTATTCTATTCAATAGACTTATTAATATCATCATCAACAGATAAAAAATAGCAAAATTAATTAATAACTTCATAATTTTCTAAAATTAAAAAAATTATCTCTAAAAGAATATAAATTAAAAAATAATAACTTTAATTTTCGGGTAAAAGAAAGCCCTTTTATTCAAAATAAAAATAGTAATTAAGTACCCAAATGAAAGAAGTAGCAAATATTTACCAAAACAATGAGATTAAAATAGAAGTATTGTTTTAATTAATAAGTATCACTTTAGCTTAAAAAAGAAATATTGTTTATTTAGGATACTAAAAAAAGAATATTGTACACAAAAAATAGAAGAGTAGTACAAAAAAAGCAAAGGCCCATATTTAAAGGCGAGCAACTAGGAAAACCTATCATTCACTATACATTAACCCTTTAATATTAGCATCAATATATATATATATATATATATATATATATATATATACTTGTCTCACAAGCTTTATTCCTCAGCTTTGTTCCTTGTTCTTGTTTTACAAGTAAGTTTCTTTGAAAGCAAGAACAGGGAATAACTAATAACTAATAACTAAACTTTCTTCTTCTATTTTCTCATCCTTCAATAACTTCTCAACATGGCTGCTAATAGATGGTTGAGACCTGAGGTATACTAAACTTTCATATTTCATATTTTGTTTCTCTTTGGTTTCTCATAGATTATACTCAAATATTCTTGTCTTTAATCCTTAATGTTATGTCAAATATAGAACAACATAATTCATGTTTTTTTTCTATCATGTTTATTTAAAGATAAAAGAAATACCTTCCTAAATATCTGTTATATATATAAGGCTTTGGTTTTTTCTTCATTGGTTGTGTTGCCATAAATATTCCATTCCTGACTAGTTTTTATTTTCCATTCCATTTATATTACTTCCTTTATATGCATATATACTATGGTGTAAAATGGATCTGATATTATCAAAATACAACTTTGTGATTTTATGTGGTTTGTGGGCTGCATCTATCTCTTCAGAACTGTTCTGATGTATTTATTATATAAAATGGATATACAATTACTTATTTTTCCTTATATTTTTAATGTCAAAAGTTTCATTTCAATATATATAAAAGTATAAAAATATTTTAACAAGTTATGTTTTCCTTTACTTTGTAATACTTGTATATTATATCTTCATTAATAGAGAACATCCTTACTCTACTATCCGATAAGATGATATTCTAAATGAGTTTTGTTGTGTGGTCACATGAATAGGTATACCCACTTTTTGCTTCAGTTGGTCTTGCTGTTGGGATTTGTGGTATGCAACTTGTGAGGAACATTAGCACCAATCCTGAAGTCAGGTACTTTTTGCTATATATATTGTTTGGTTTGGACTTCCTTATACATAATCGGTCTTATACCGGTACAAAAGGTAAAGTTGTATTAGGTAGCCAATAAACAATATAAACTTTGTCGAATCTTGTTTGGTTTATACATAGTCGATCTTATACCAGTATAAAGGTGAAAGTTGTATTAGGCAGCCAACAGACAATATAAAACTTTGTCGAATCTTGTTTGGTTTTGACTTTGTTCGTTATACATAGTCGGTCTTATATCAGTATAAAGGAAAAAATTGTATTAAGCAGCCAACAGACAATATAAAACTTTCTCGAATCTTGTTTGGTTTTGACTTCGTACGTTATACATAGTCGGTCTTATATCAGTATAAAGGCAAAAATTGTATTAGGCAGCCAACAAAAAATATAAAACTTTGTAGAATCTGATTTGGTTTTGGACTTCTTTTGATTCACTTATTGTTCAGATCCAAAGTTTTCTAATTTTATATTGTCAAATTACAAGTCTCACATGTAAATTAGATAACCCAACTAGGTGAACTTAATGAATTATGAGACAACCTGTAAAAGCTGTGTCATGTGTTTTCTCTGTGAACAAATTATCAATCTTCTCCATACATACTCTACATTTATTCTGTAACCATTCATCAAAACTATATATAGATAATAAATGGGGAGGGATCCACTTACTGCAAGAGTAAGTGTTTATGATTATTCATTCTTGAGAAATCTAATGGTTTGAATTGATGAGTACATCTAAACCATTGAATTTTTCGAGATTGGATGGTTAAGATGAATAGTAAGTATTTTCCACTTACTCTTGGAGTAAGTGGATTCCTCCCCATAATAAATAATCAAAAAGTTGGTAGTTATCGAAAATTGTGTTACAGAAGAAAAAATTGGTGTCTGATCATTTTTTCATTTGGAATACATAAAAACACAAATAGATTCTATTAGGGTCTAATCAACATTTTTGAAATTTATTTTATAATAAGATTTATATATATTGTTAGGAAGTAAGTGTCACATCGCATATTTCATTGTCTCGAGAATAGTTTAAATACATGGTGAGCTACTCATCTCATTGTCAATTGGTTTTGAGATGAAACATTAATATGGTATCAGAACCAGAGTTCAACTTCTTTCCGGTTGTCATGGGCCAAAAAATATCATTTAATTATGGGTCAAGGTAACTTTTCGCTTGGTTCGGCTAACTTATATGGAGGAGACATGTTGGGAAGTAAGTCCCACATCGCCCAGCTCATTGTCTCGAGAATGGTTTAAATATCTGTTGGACTACTCCTCTCATTGTCAATTATCAGAACACACAACACAAACTTGAAAAATTGCACTAAAATTTTCTTAGGGACAAATATGGTGACATGAAATATTGAAACTTAGGATATGTTATGATGTATAATGTTTGAATTTGATGATGATTTCAGGGTAAAGAAAGAGAATAGAACAGCAGGAATACTTGATAATCATGAAGAGGGTGAGAAATATTCACAACACTTTGTTAGAAAGTTTGTACGTGGCAAGACCCCTCAGATTATGCCATCCCTCAACAAGTTCTTCTCTGACCCAAATTTGGATTAAAATCACATGCCAAAATCTGTTCTAAAAAGTGATTATTTGAGACTAATTTTTGGTTTTCTGATTGGTATTGTGAATTGAGAAGTAGAACAAATGAATTTGATTTTTCATATTAAGGATATATGAAGCTTCAGCTATTTGTTGATGGATGATGACATTATATTTGTCCAATAATAAAGTTTTACACTTTACATTTGCAAATTGTCTTCATATGTTTTATTTTTTGGATGATGTTTCTACCTATAATAATAACTCTAACTCGATAATTCTTTTGAAACTCATCATCTTCATCATAAATGATCTGTGTGCCTCGAAATGACCTAGCCCAATAGGGAAATCCTAATTCATCGGGGCTTTCAATACAATATCAAATAGAAAGCCCCAAAGGCACCATGTTCTACGAGTCCAAACTATATGATTAAATAAATCCTCCTTTATTTGTTATGGGTTGAGAACTCCTATTTGAAAATTTATATCCATAGTAGACAAATAAACATTTTGATTACTTGAATGCCTATTGACAACAACTTTGTGTAGTCTCCAAGAATGAGGCTCCAATTCATACCAAAATATCCATGTTCAAAAGCATAAGCAGCATGGTTGAAAATTATGCAACTACATAAGGAGTAGAAGTAAATATAAATAGATGATGAAAAGTATCCTTATGAAAAAATCATCACAAAAGAGTAATATGTTTGAACTGCAAATGCATATATTCTATAGCCATCACATTATATCTCAAAACTAATTGATAATGAGATGAGTAATCCAACATGTATTTAAACCATTTTCGAGATAATGAGGTAGGTGATATTGGACTTATTTCCCAACATGCCCCATCCACATAAGTCTGCCAAACAGACGAAGGATTATCTTTAACCTATAACTAAAGGGCATATTTTGGCAATGACAATCGAAAATAAGTTGGGCTCTGACTCTGATATCATGTTAATGTTACATCTCAAAACCAATTAGGTATGAGAGGAATACTCCAACAAGTATTTAAATCATTTATGAGATAATGAGAAAGACGATGTGAGACTTACTTCCCAACACAAACTCCCTCAGATATGTCCAACCTCGGCGCGACATAAAATCACTGTAATCATCTTCAGTGTAGAACGGTCATTCCTGCAAATGATGATTTAGTGTTACAGCAATCATACAAGTCCAAAAGAAAGAGATGGGAAGGAAGTAATTGTAATATTCATAAACTATACTCTTGGTAGCTATATGTAATATCTTGCAAACATTACGCCAAAATTCGTATTCAACAACGGTCATTTAACCGCACTTTCGAGCACAATACTGTTAAATATAAGACGGAAGATAATCAACAACTTTCTTTTTTAAGCAAGGGCTACTAATTTGATAGGCAAATGTAGCTTCAACAACGCTATTTGAAAGTCACAATAATTTCTAGAATAATAATCTGCCCCTTAACCCCTAGTAAAAAAGGGCAGCCCAGTGCACAAAGCTCCCACCTAGTGGGGTCTGGGGATGGTAGATATATATGGACTTACCTTCATAAGCGAATAGTCTATACTCTATTTCAGGATCTGAACACATGATGTCCAAGTCACAAGACAAACAACTTTATTATTGCGTCGAGCTCCACCATCTAATATCTAGAGAAAAAATGTTGGCCTAGTGCACGAGGCTCCTACTGAAAGAGGGTTAGAAGAGGGTAAACTTATGTAACATTACCTTAGAATCAAATAGACTTTTCCAACAAAAAAAAAAAAGGTCCTAATTTTTTTCTTCAGATTCTACGAAAGTTGCTTCAAAAACATTAACCTATCGACAATTAGAGTGCATATATTATAACAGTAAACAGTGCATGCATTATTAAGACACAAAATTATTAACTTTTATATGCTTTGCCATTTTTCTCTTTCATTGGAGAGCAAGTACATAAGCTACAAAATTTTACATAGCTTACCAACTTTATGACCAATATAATTATATAACCGGTATAATTATTGTACTGTAACAATATTGTGATCGATTTACTGGTTGAGCCGGCTAACATGAACCAGCCGGCATGAAATGGTTTTTATTACACATATACTACATGTCCTAGCCACTTTAGGGATTTACTTAGACATGGCAATAATATAATTGGGGTTAGCTTTATTTATTAGTTTTTTTAACTTACAATAAATATACAACCAACAAAAATATTGACAATGCATAACTAATTATTTTAGTTAAATAAAAGTATAATAATCTCAAAGTCTTCAAATATGATGTGTTAAATATTGTTCTAGAGAATTTTTCTCACAATCCAGATCAAATCATTTATTCGCATTTTTTTACTTTTCATTTTTTAATTATTTTAATTGCTTATTTAGAAAGTAGAAATATTGGAAGAAACCATACTTGTTTAACCTATGTCTCTTTGCAAGGAGGTTTAATTAAAATGATATTATTAGGTCAAATACTCAGAAATAAAATACTTTAAAAGTGTACTACAAATAATACAATTACATGGTTAGATTGGATAAAGATTATTTTGATCTTTAAACCCAAACCGAATTAACTTATTTCAGTTAATTTGTTTGACTTTTGTAAATCTATTAGTTTTAATACCTAAATTTGTAACTAGAAAGTATAAAAATTAGACAAGGAGAATATATGAATGTTGTTCTAAAATAATCAATTGAGGTCAATGTTGATCTTTCAAAATCAAAACAATAAGGTGCTATCATTCTAACATTATGAAAATGAATAACATATTATTTTAATTTGATTACAAAAGAAAATAAAATAACATAATTAAAATGAATGCATGCTAGAGTGAAATTGAAATGAAAATTTGTGTTTATATCTTATATGTAGACTATAATAGGGTAAAGTAAAGGTGTATACCCCACAACTTATTAAAATGACACAAACTTATTATATCTTGGATTGGTTTAGTTCCAATCAAAATATATGATTTGGAATCCTAAAAAATTTATCAAATCAACCAAGTAAACTAAACTAACCCATAAAATATGATTTGAGTTTTTTGAAATAGATTACCAAAATCTAGGACAAAATCTAGGACCAAATCTATTTAAGTAGACATCATGTTTTATTTACACATGTTTTTTCCTAAAATGAGACAATCTAGCTTAACTAATTCTTTGCCAAATTATTCGTTGATTGAGATGAAAGAAAGGGATCCACCACATCTAACTATAAGATTATTTTTAATATAAGTAAATGAGAAGTATGAAATATTTCTTAGAATTGCATTGCTTGTCTAATTTTTCTCTCTAAACCGAAACAACATAAAGAACATGGATTCAGGCATGTCTTGGGCCGATCAATGGGACAACAACCCCGACCCTCCTCCTTCGTTGGACAAAGACAAGAAGAA